TGCCAAGCTGGGTGTGCACAGTCTGTGATTTTAAGTTAAGTACTTCATTGTAAAAATAATACATTCTTGCATAAACAGAACATGCCCTTGGTATTATTTTATAGTTTGCTCATGTAGTTAAGGATACAAAATTAGCTGTAAGAATTATGTTTTAAAGAAATACTGTTTTCAAACTTTTGATACCTGTTTTGTTGCAGTTTTCTTTTAAAGGCTAACATTGAGTTCATATTTTTTCTTGCAGGAGAAGGGAATGAAGAGATCAGTAATATGATTCATAATTACATCAAAGAAATCGAAGACCTCAGGTATTGTGTTCTCTGAAATATGTTAGTGCGCATGTTTTGGCTTTCGCAGTGTTGCAGTATTTCTCTCTGTCGGGCTTACTGTTCAGTAGCTCTTCCTACTGATATTCAAGCTCTTTAGTCATGATGATCCAGGGGGGAAATCTTGTCTTTCCTGTAGTATCAACTCCCAGCCACCTTTCCCCTCTTCTCCTATTTTATCTTCCTGTGCTATCCAGCTGCTACTATTGTGTCCCTGGTCGGGTACCTGTCTAAGGTGCCATATGGGCCAGGCATAATTAAGGTTGAGGATGTTATCTTCAGTATCTTCACTTGTCTATCATTTAGGACTAGAGCGACATCTACAAGTCATCACCGAGTGTTTGAATCTCCTGATACGCCAGCTCTCTTCAGCTACTCAACTGTGCGCAGGAGCGCTCACCGCCTCCCTGCCAGGCGTTTGGCCCTCTCGGGCACATCCATTCATGTTTCAGGCAGCATGCCACACATGCCCACTGGATGCCAGTAGCCTGCTGTGACTGGGGCAAGCATCACATAAAAAGTAACATAGTGAAGACAGTGACAGAATGTCATAAAAGAATCAGGTCGTGCCTGATGTGGGAAGGTGAAGACCCCAGAACCCAGATTTAGGGAAGCAGTGGAAGGAATAGAGGCTCTGTATATAGGCAAATGAAGTCAGGGATATTAATCACGTCTAGAAGACTTTTGGGTTCCATGGTTTCCCCTCATGGTTGAGTGGTGGCACCTCAGTTCATAGACTTAATTTGTTTTACGTTTTTTTTTTTTTTTTAAATTGTTGGTTTATTTTTTTAAATAATTTTATTGAGAAACAAATAGCAATGAGACAGTTTCAAAACTGATTACTAGCAGTTTCAATAATTAATACATTGCATATTGTTGTCTTAGTGGTTATTCATTGTACAAGATGCAGACATGATATCCTGTCCACAGACACTATTAGAATAAATCTCTCTATTCATTGAATTAAGAGAATGCAGCTGTGTATCTATCCTATTTTGGATATACAGATAGAAAATGGTCGTTCATTTGTATCCTCTTTTTTGTTTAGTTTTGTCAGAGAAGGGTATACCATTGTCATTTAAATATTATAGGTGTGTGAATTCAGCAAAATATTCCAATATAGTCCAGTAGTCCATAATAGTGGTGGGTTTTCCGTAAGACTGGCAGTGTCAAAAGTTACGACCTGAGCCTTTTGCAGCTCAGCATATTCATATGGCTTTACTTTTTATACTTTGTTTTTATACTTTTCTGCTGGACAGTTAAGACCAAGATAAAGCCAGACCTATATAACAAGAAATGTAACTTTTGTATCTGACATGTTCAGTCAAAAGCCCTCAGGATTTATCCTGAAACTCTGTACCATAGTTTGTAGATCCTTTGTCAGTGTTAAGCCATGTGGATGAGTCACGGCCATTGCTTCACCAATGTGCTCTCTGTGAAACCCTGAGAGAATGTTTTCTCTCCATGTGACTCTCCTTAGGCACATTGTACATCATTGATCACTTTCCTCTGTGGCCCCATAATCTCTTTGATCTGTTCTACGGTTTTGCCCACATTTGTGTTTGTCAGAAAGATGGCCATATTACTGTTTGTCACCCAGTGCAGATTTTGCAAACAAAAGCAAAATTCGTCAAATGCTTCTGTTTGCCAGCCAAATGTTTTGCCAACAAAAGCATTTGTGAACCAAAGCACGACTATGTTTTCTCTTGAAGTGAAACTCTACTCAGTTCTAAGAGGGAACATCTAAGTAGTTCAAATACTGCTTCTACTGCCCACCTGCGGAAAATAACCAAGGGGAGAAGATGATCCACCCGGCTCCCAGCAGCTCCTGTCTTGTATGTCCCAGTTGTTTCTCCTCCCTCTTCCTCTGGCCAAACTAGAGGTCTCCCCTGCTGCTGGGCCACAAGGGCTGGTGGAGCCTGTCAGCATGTCAAAAGAAAAGACATATTAATATGACAGTACATAAATAGAAAATGTCAATAGACATTCCTCCGTGCCTCCTTTGGAGACCTCATGTTTAACAGTCTTTGAAATACAACTGACACCTCTTTTTCTTGGTTTTTTTAACTTTCCAAAGATCCTCTTCCATAGTTAGGCTGCCTTTTTTATCTTTTATTTTCCTTGGCACTGGCCCAGTGCTGAGACTGATGGCATGTTCTGGTCCGTGTGGCCTGTTTCCCTCTCCCCACCCTGTTATTCTAAGGCTGCACCTAGGCTTGGTGCACAGTGGGACCGGTGGTGTGACTGATGTCACTGTTTCCTGGAAACTGCCTGAGCCAGTTCCAGGCCTGCTAGTGGCTAACAGCAACATCTGACAACTTCAGCCTTCTCTAAGTTAAGAGCAGTGCTTAAGCCGTTCAGCGACTAGAGTTCGGCTCAGAGGTTCTGAGTTCACTCACAGATCAGAACTTTCCTATTGGAGTGTAATACTTTGTTTCAGATACCCAGCTTGGACGGTTCTTTAATTTGATGTGTCCCACACCTAGGGAGTAGTCCTCTAGAATTTTAGGATTATAATTTACAACGGAAAAAAGATTTATACATTATATATATGATACCTGCATTCCAAATAAGGTATTTGATGGTAGCCAAGTTACCTGTGATTTCTGAGCTTTAGTTTGTTCACCTGTAAGAATAAGGTAATTTCTACCAGTCTTACGGTTTTTATTTGGTTCAAATAAAAGAATAAGGCAGAAATTTCTGAAATGGAAAGGTACTACAAAGATCTAGTGTATCATTATTTGGGACAGCTTCTCACATTCTGTTGCTACCTACAAAATCCTACTTTAATCCATACTTCTGATAAAATGTGGACTCAGGAACATGATATTTATAGCTCCTTAAATGTAATACAAATTTATATTTATCTCTTGCCACTTGGAAATACTCATTTTATGTTTTATTTTAACTATAATAGTTACCTTTAAATAAATTTGCACATCATAGCATTTGTGAAAATATTGCTAAAATTAATATGCATGTTTCTGGGATGGCAAAATTTTTATAGAAATTCTTGAACATACAAAAAATATTTAAGGGGCTGGGGAGATGGCTCAATAGAATAAGC